TGGCTGTACTTGGAGTGTTCACTTGACAGACGGACAGACGCTTGAACGGATGGACTGACGGACGGAGAGACAGTCAGAGGGGCAGACGCACAGATGGACAGACAGACGAACAAACGTACACGCAGAAGAACGGACGTACGGATGGACGTATGGACGGACAGACGCACCGACGGTCACGCGGATGGACGGACAAACGGACGGCCGCGCGGACGGACTGACGAACACTTCGCCCCACCAATCATGATTCAATCCGTGGATACGCCTGTGATTTTTTTCGAGGCTGCAGATGCCTATACTTTAGCAGGTGTATGCATCCTAGTCTCCTAATAATGATAGTTTATTCATGATACCTTACAGGGCCCGATAGGGCATTGAGTAAGGGGAGCAAGTACGAAACAAAAAAATATCATAGATAAATGCATTAATAATACAGGGAAACAAAATTCAAAAAAAGGGTACAGTGCATACATATGTACAGTGCAAAGCATTTTCAAACAGAGGAACAGCATTTCTTATTCCATGAAACAATTTTTCGCCAATCACACACACTCGCAAAGGAAAGAATGGCGGAAGAATTCGCGAAATAAAAAGTAATGGTGACGACACGATACTATTTCAAGAAATGCTTACGCAATTGGTCAAGAAATGCTTGATGGTTACTGATAGATGCAATATTGTCGGGAAGATCATTCCATAGAACAATGGCTCGGGGAAGTGCTGATGAATTGAAAGTGTTAGTTCGTCCACTGATGCGTTTAATGCTATATTGATTATGCAAGCGGCGTGATATGCGTGAAGGCGCTTCCAGTGGTAAGGGAGATGGCCTGATGCTATAGCGATATTTATGGAATAAAGATAAAAGGGAAATGGAACGACGTACAATTAATGGCACAAGCGGTATGTCATGTTTGATCTGCGTTATGCTGGAATGTGGGCTGTAGTTGGAAGTAATGAAACGAGCGGCTCTGTTTTGTACAGACTCAAGCTTGTTAGTCAGGTAGATTTGATGAGGAGACCACACTGGTGAAGCATATTCTAATTGCGGACTAACGATGGTTTCATAGGCGAGTTGTCTTAGACTGCTTGGTGAGTTCCACAAGTTCCGGCGCAGATATCCAAGTGACCTGGATGCCTTGGCAGTAATGGTGTTAATATGCATGTCCCATGAAAGATTGTGCTTGAGATGGACGCCTAAATATTTATACGATGATGCCTGGATACTGATGTGCTATCTATGAGGTATGAAAAATCGGAATTGATGCGCTTGCGGCTGAAAGTGATAACCTTGCATTTAGTAGAGTCAAGACTCATCTGCCACTTGTCACACCACTTTGCAATTAATATGAGATCATTTTGAAGTACGAGGTGATCTTTGGTGGATTTAATTGAGCGGTAAATGATGCAGTCGTCAGCGAAAAGACGCAGGTTAGAAGATATGCCTGTGGGTAAATCGTTAATGTATATTAGGAACAGTAAAGGACCAGGACACTGGCCTGGGGCACACCTGATGTTACGTCACAGAGAGATGAGGTAAAACTGTTAGCTGAAGTAAACTGCTGACGGAAAGAAAGAAAGTTACGAAGCCATGATAATGTTAAAGAATCCAGACAGAGAGCTGATAATTTCGAGAATAAACGCGAGTGTGCCACACAGTCAAATGCTTTGGCAAAATCTAAAAAAATACAATTCGTTTGAAGATTAGCGTCCATGTTAGAGTGCAAGTCAGTTGTGAATTCTAGCAGCTGCGTGTCACATGACAGTCCTTTTCTGAAACCGTGTTGCTGAGGAAAAAAGAAGTAATTATGTTCAAGATGAGCGTAAATATGGGAGGCGATAATGTGTTCAAGTAACTTACAGCAACGTCCCAAAACACCATATGAGACGCCGTAGTGGAGGGCTCGGGAAGTTTGAACCACCTGGAGTTTTTTAACGTGCACCGAAATCCAAGCACACGGACCTCAAGTATTTTCGTCTCCATCGAAAATGCGGCCGCCGCAGCCAGCATTCGATCCCGCGACCTGTGGGTCAGCTGCCGAGTGCCTTAGGCACTAGTCCACCGCGGTGAGTATCGTTCTCCTCATCTTGTGTCTTGAGTGCGCATAGATGCTTTAAGGTGTGCCGTTTATGCCTTGAAGAACATATTCCACTGAACTCCTGCCTTATTTAGGTTGTGCCGCGCTTACATTAATTACTGCTACTCTATTGCATTAATAGATAACAGATTAAGGATCTGTTATGTTGCTGTAATCAGTCTTGTATTAAACTATGTATGCGAACTTTTGAGCTTAAATCTCTGTTCGCACTTACTTTCTTTCGAATAAAAACATTTCGTTATTTCACGAGTTATGCATGAAGTTCGATGTAGCCACCTGGACACCGCGTTTTTATTATAAGTAAACAAAAAAATGTCTTCGCAGCTAAGGGGCCATTCTTGCAAATTATCATGACAAAAGCTATCTAATCTGCTACGAAGAAGTTCCAATGTACTGCCGTATCAATAGTCTCATGCGAAGGCTGTGACTATTTTTATATTGGCGGTAAACCTGATTAAAAAGGTTAGCTTGGAAAGCTGGAAATAGAAGAGGGGACGGCGTTAGTGCATAGAAATGAAGTGCTCTTCAAGCATTTCACAATAGAAAGCTTTATTGTGCGCAACCTATGTAATTGAACGCTACTTGAAGAACAAAAAAAAAGTTAAGTGAAGATATGTATTCCACGTCATGTCATAAAATCAAATCAGCTATACACGAAAAAAAAAAGGTTTGACTGTGGTAGCGATAAAAAAAATTCTCATTGCGGTTGATTCCCAGGACAGATATGCAGATTGGATCACCCAAAAAAAATCTGGGCCTCTACGATACGCATCGGCTGGCAGGGCCTGATTTTCATCATTTTCTGTTGTGTTCTTAATTGTGCGGGTTCTCAATATATCTTTTTCCAACACTTTCGTTTTTTTTTGTTCAGTTTGCAAGAACAAAAGACTCGTTTGCCTCGGTGTTCGCGATGGGCTTTTCTCGGCTTTCCGTTCATTCCGGTTTGAATTAAAATGGAAATGACGCGTGGGTCCCCATCACGGTACGGCCTCTGCATTCCTATACTTCTGAGCGGCGCTTCAGGTCCAATTTTTCATCAATCTAGCGCGTGCTCTTGTTTCATCCACGCTCCTATATAACACGACATTGCTAATGCCCTCGAAGTCCATAGAGCTTAGAAAAGGGAGAGGTAAAAGCCAGAGGGCGGGGGGGGGGGGGGGGGGCGAGAGAGTGAGGGAGCCGAATGTGCCGTTGGGCTTATAGAAAGAACATCCAGAGCGTGGTTTTGCTCAATTGAGAACGCGTATTGTGAGGGCTGGCCACTGTGCATAATGTCTTCTCAGTGATAATATGGTTACGTCTAACGTGCAAGCTTTTAAAAATCTGGAAACAAACATTTAAACGCAAAGGTTCCAAGATACTTTGGAAATGGTGGCTTCACTAAAGACACACACAACGCCCTCCCGTCAGATGTTAACTGGTATCGAGATATCACGGTGCTGGTGCATCGTGTCAAGACTGCGATCTCTCTAAACCATTCGTTGTGTTGTTTTTTAAAGCATAGTCACTAGCTACTTGAATTAGGCACCAAAGCTACGCAAGCGCAGCCGCCAAGTATACATGCTACAATTCTGGTTGGCTTCCCTGTCTTTCTCTCAACTTCTTGCCTTTCTCTATCTATACATAAATGCGCTGACTTCGCTATGCGAAAGAACAGTTATTCTGGTAGAGATATTATATGCCGATCATAACTACCATTATGAGCAAATTTAAGCGGTAAGGAAATAAACACGAATGCACTAAACAGAGCTGATATGGACGAGCGCTGACTTTCAGCTGGTTTTTCATTCAGAAAAGAGACATTTAAGTAGTGAAAAATTGTGAGCGCCAATCAACATGCGACTATTACCGTAAAATGATCGCTAACAAGTGACGAAATAAATAAAATTAAAAGGAAGTCCAGGCAACTTTATCTTGCGAGATCTTGAGCATGTGAAAGCCAAGCAACTTTTTTTGTGTGTGTGATAGTCACTGTAAGGCATGCTGATGTTTTTCTCCCCCAAACATGCGATACGGGGCGCCTCTACAATTTTTGCGAGCACATTTTTGTTTTTGCAGACCACTTCTTTTTGATTGTAGGCAAGGCAGGCAGCCACACTCCTTAAATGTGAACTCAAGTGTTGGGAGTTTGATGGTTTGTGAATTCGTGTTTATCCTCACTCTGTTAAAATTTTCTTGACGATGAATTACGAACTCGCGACGCTATTTAAATGCAGTTTTAAGGCAAAAGCCTGTTTCGTTGAGCAGAGGCCTCGAGTGATAAAGCGTTCAGGAAAATAAACGAAAAAAAAAGTGCTGCAGAAACCCACGTCACCTTATTCGTGTAGGTGGCCTGTATCGAAGGAAAAGCTTGCTGTGACGTCACCGTGGGACGTCACGGGGGCCTGAGTTCGCGACGTCAGTTTTCTCCCACCGTTTTTTTTTTTTTTTTTCGTAGAGCTACCAGTCTTTCACGTCATGGACGCACAATCTGGTGGCGCAGACGACGTGAAGGCAGTACAATCACGTGGTGATTAACCTGCTTCGGTTTGATGATGACGATGCTGGAACGTTATTGGGCCTCTGTGTATCAATAGGGAAATAACCAGCGTGCGATGTACAGATTACCTTAACGTGACATTACAAAGTTAACGTGCCACCATGTGGGTGCTCCAGCGTGGCTGCTTCAGCGACGTCAGCGCAAACCATCTGTTTCTCTTTCAGGTAGGGCCACGTAGTGCGACAACTTGGGTTTGTTGGCACGGTTGCCGTAAAATAATACAACGCAAATGAGGCGAAGGCGTTTGCGTTGTCGCACCTCTTCTATTCTCCGTCTCGTTAGTTTATGTATGGATGTTGCTTTGTTCGCTTATATAATGCGATGTTTGGTTTCATAAGTCGCTGCATCCTTTTTTTTTTCCCCCGCAGGTTGCGAGACGACGGCGGCAGCGTTAGGGACCGGAACTTTTCGTCCTACGATGGAAGCCGGCTCAAGGATTCGGTCGCTTTTGTCAACGGTGAGGAGGACCATACGTTGTCGTGCTACACCTAACTAACGCCGATGCTTGTCTGCGTCAGAGGGAAATGTCTCTACATATACACACCTGGTTGAGCACAGGACATGCATAGTACTGTAAAGATGGTATAAAGACCGGAAGATAAAAGCTGCACCTGCGAAACCTTTTTTAATGTTTCCATAAAAATAAAGGATATGGATAAGAAATAAACAGCCGCCGGAGCGGTTTCAAAAAACCCTAGCTCTCGTCATTGTGACTTGACGAGCATGTTGAGCCGTAAAGTATTTCGAATTCAGCATCGGATGCCAGCAGAAATACTGCAGCTAAGCGCATGCCCTAACACACTTCTTCGCGTTTATTTTCCACTTCTTTTGAGTGCGTCCGTACATAGTTTCCTAATATACACTAGACGGTACTCTGGCGCTAGTGTCTATGGGAGCTGCAACGCACGGTGCTTCAGCGAGCACGGGAATGATGGGTAGTACACACATTCGTCTAGTTTTCGTACTTCTGGTCTGCTTCTGGATCCGTGTGTGTTCGTGTGTCTTGGAGCTGTTTCTTTCACGAAAAAAAAAATTAGCAAATGTTCAGCGTTTGCGCTTCACAACCTTATTTTTCTGGCTTATCACTTTGAATCGAGTCACGAAGTTCAAAAGGATTTGTTCTTTCTTTCAAAACAAAATCGAAACACAGCATTAAACGAAGCCGAAAGTACGATTCGCCGCCCGCAAGTACGAAGACCAGGCAAATGTGTGTACTACCCATCATTCCCATGGTCGCTGAACGATCGCAGCGCCAGAGTTTCCTCTAGTTAACTTTAGGAAACTCTATAGGTGTCCGTATACGTAAAGCTTTTACGCGCTATCAGAAGTATGAATTGACGGCAACGATAGCTCGCTGTGCGGCTCTCTCTACCGCAGGCGGCCTTCCGGCGTCGGAGTCCAACGGACATGGGCCTCCGGTGCTGAACCTGTCGCAACACGGCCATCGCAACAGCGCGACGCGGGACTACCACGACGGCGCGGCTGCCGACGCCGAAGACGACACCGAGGACGACACTGACGACCGTGACCCCGGTGCGTCTCGTCTCAAAACGTCTGCGAAGAAAAACGGTTTAGCGCATTTCTGAAACGTCTTAGCCGGCAAGCATAAAGAACGACGTTACAAGGGGATAGTTAAAAATGACAGAGATAAGTTCCTAACAGGAGATAAAGATGTGCGATATTCCCAGTTTTTTTCGCTCGTGCGCACAGAAGCTTGCATCAAGACCGTCAGAGAGCTCGGCATGGCTCTTAGCTGCCATCCGCGATACTGCTACCAGGTGCTTTATAATATAAATGTGGCGTATTGCACGCAATGCCTATACTGACAATTCGTCATGCTTCACTTCAATACATGCGCTGTTGCCAGTTACAAGCGAAATCAGCATGAAAAAAAGATTTGACACCGCGTTAGTGACTGCATCATCACTGTCGCCAGTGGTGGTTCTGTGTAAGTTCGTTTACGAAAATACGTACAACACCAGCGATTACTCGACTTCATTAAATATGTTGGTCCGGCTGAACCAGGCAGAGAAAGGCATAAAACTCTTATAGCTGGGACACAAGACGTCAAGCTGTGTGGTGAGAGTATGTTTAAAACCTGTTTCCCAATCGCGGCGCTTTATACAAGACTTGTGACGTGAAGCTGTGCGCATGAGGGCCGGTATTTACTGCGCATCAAAACTCGTGCAGCAGAAATGAAACACTTCGCGCTGAGTGGTCAATACATAGTCGGATAGTTATATATGTATATGCGATATATGGACCATTCGCTACCTAAACCGTGTTTTTTTTTTTAAGCCTGTACGCGAGACAACTTCGTGAACTTTCGACAATGATAAAAGCATTTTACGTATCCCGAGCGTCCTATCCACATACTGCTTGACAAAGTAGCCTGATTGAGAGTTTTCACCCAAAACAATCGGCCGTGTGGCTGCGTAACTGCACACTCAATGAACGAGCGATTCATAGTTTTATTCTTTATTTTTCAAATCGTGATATAGAGTGGCGCACTTTTCGCAACTGCACGTCTTTTACAATTTAGAGAATAAGAGTGCATGTTCGATTAATCTTTCTCTTCCTTTTTTTTTCTTTTTCGAAACGCTTTGCGCTAACAGAGCTTAGCGGGATTAATCTTTCTCTTTCTTTTTTTTTCTTTTTCGAAACGCTTTGCGCTAACAGAGCTTAGCGGCGCCGAAGGAAGCAGCAGTCCCGAGCCCCACGGTGGCGGCGGGGGTGGTGGGGGCCAGGCAGGGACAGGCATGGACGAGCGCTACGCCCTCGACGCGGCACTTGGTCTGGGCGCCGTGTCTTCGATCGAGACGCTCCTGCGCAACATACAGGGCTTGCTCAAGGTGGCCGCGGACAACGCCAGGCACCAGGACAGGCAGATCAGCATCGAAAAGGGTGAGCCTGGTCGAGATGTTTCTCCGAAGACAGGCGTGTGTTGTGGCGTAAGACCAGCGCCAGAAATGGCTCAATGAGCATTCAGAACCCAGCGCTGACTATCACCTGTCAAGTGATAGCCAGTTGATAGTCAGCACTATATCCCACGTGATAATTGTGCCATTTACTTCGCTGCTGTCCACAATACGCACGAACCAACTAACCCGCCTAGGGACCTTCGTCTAGGCAAATGTCTTACAAAATATGCGAAGCAATGAAAGTGAAACGCTCAGGTCAACATACTGTTTTTTATTGCTCAAGAGGAATCGATCCTACAGATGCAACATGGTCCGTTGCTTCCTTTCGATAAAGTATTCGCGCTTTCTAAAAAACGTGTGCTTTACACGCTAAATAAACCTCGATTCTCAGAGTACTTTGATATGCAACCTTCCTCGACTGCATCGTTTATTGTGGCACGCCACTCTCGGGTGATAAACTAAAGCTTAGTTCATTCAGTCGGTCCACAGATCAACCACTTGCTGAATCGTTGTAGAAATTGTGTGCCAATAACATGCTCACTTATTCTACTAATTTGTTAATATAGGTCGGAATAAAGTCTCAGTGCCGGATTATGAAAGAATTAAGTGATAACAACGCCCTCTATTAAGTTGAATATTATGACCACCTGACCTTAGGCAAGTAACTGATTGCGCTTTTTATGCGGTTACGATTATGAATTGCTTTGTGACACCTAAGCACGTAGTATGTATCACTCTTAACCAAGTTCCGCTTAATGCACGTGATACAGCCAGACAACAGACCATTCTTCGTCTGGTTTCCCGAATATAGCCAGTATTTAGCCGGGGCCGAATGGAGAGTTTGCGCTACAGCTGCTCACGGTGTCAAACATGCACCATCAAACCCTCCCTTTAACCATCCATCGATGGGGCATACAACCTGAACGAACGTCGTTAATATTTCAGTTGACTTGGAGAGTGCAGGATAGAACACGGACGACATGGAGGTAGACAAGGGCAGACTTAGTGTCATAGGCTTACACTGCAATATTCTAGTCCTCAATGCTCTTTCTTTTATTAGCTTTCAGTTGTTCCGCAGGAGGAACAACTATCTTTATCTTGAATTATGATGACAGAGGGTGTGGTGTGACTAATGGCGAGCACGTTCGTCGAGCGGTCAGAGCTGAACGGGTCACGTTTCTTGAAACTTTCACAAGACGGTGACACGCTGGGGTCTCTCCTTACTGTAGGGGGTTTAGGGTTGGCGATACACGTCCGCCCTTACAAGACGCGTCGTGCCTACGAGATATCACGTTTCCCGGTGTCCCTTTGAGGGGGGGGGGGGGGCTGAAAGAAAAAGTGTCGAGGACAAGGAATTAAGCGCGCACAGGGCACAAGTCGTGGCCCTTCATCTTTCGTTTCTCTCTTTAGACCCCTCCACTCGGTCTGCGGGATTTAGCACCACGTTTCCGCCAATAAAGCCACGATTTGCATACTGCATAAAGTGTGACGGGCACACGCTTCACACGACGAAAGTCCGTGCCTCTTGCGAGCAGAGCGTCGTCTAATGACCGCTCTCCCGCGCGACCTCTTAATTCTCGCGTCGCTCTCCGAAACCCCCCCCCCCCCCCCCCCTCTTTTTTTTTTGACGTGCTGTTCTTGTTCCTCAGACCTTCTTTCTTCTTTTCAGCTGTTATGTGACCACTTTTTTAATTTCTTGTTTTATTCTCACTTTATGCTCTTCTAGCGGGGCTACAGCATGTGCCGCTTTCTTTTCCTTTTTAGAAATTCCAAAAGTGTGCTCGCTGAAAGAAACCGGCAGCATTACGCCATACTGGGGTATCCCACGCGCAACCAAAAATTAAAAGAAAATGACAAATCTTCCTGCTTTGTCTGCACATTTCACACTGGCCCTCGTCCTTCGGGCGTTCTATTCCGCTTCGTGACAGCTACGCAGCAACCTACGCTAAGTCTCATATTTACGTTCTATCGTGTTTGGCTTTCTTTCTCTCTCTCTCTCTCTCTCTCTTTTGTACAATGTTCTATTCTCCGTTCTCGTTTTCATTTTATCTGGTCTTTTTTTTTCTTTTTTTCCTCTTCAATTCATGGTTTGGCCGTGTCAAGAAGTCAGAGCACTCAGTGCAGCTCGCGGATACGCCGGAAATGACGTGGGGCGAATTTACGAGCCACTGCGGGGGGTGAATCCGGTGGTGGTCTTCCGGAAATGAAATGGGCTTAGGCCACGCTCTGTCCCCCCGACGCGACCGCTATTTGTCGCGTCACTTCCGGTGTCAATCACTGTTTCGCCTACCCCTTGTTTCGGACCTCTGTGTCTGCTGTTAGCGACGCGTATATATATTATACAGTCCTCCTAAATGCTCTCAATGTCAGCGTGTTTGTGGACCACTGTCATGGTTTCTGTTTTAGTGTGTTATTTTAATGTAGGGCTCTTCGTTGGAAAGCTCGACATTTGGTCTGTTCTTCGCCGGGGAGTTGGAGTTTGAAGCTTGAGGAAGCTCTTTTCTTATTCGTTTTCAAGAAGGTTTGATGTATGTCTGAACTCCTAAAGCTTGTGCTGTAAGGCCATCTGTTGTTCCTTAGAACATGCTGCGTAGAACTAACAAACGCTCCCCCGAAAAGGGGAGCGTTTGTGCGTAGATGTTTTGGTTGGGCTTCAATTAAACATTGCATTATAATAATAACTGCTGAACACTTACGTCCCATAACCATAGTATGATTATGAGAGACGCCGTAGTGGAGATGCTCCGGAGATTTCGACCACTCGGGGTTCTTTGACGTGGACCTAAATGTGTGCACATTGACCTCTATTGTTTTGCTTCAAAATAAATGCGGCTACAGCGACCGGCATTCGATCCCGCGACCTTTGTTTTAGCAGCCGGGCACCATGACCACTAGACCGCCGTGGCGGCTGACAACGAATAAGTGAACACGGCTATGCGTTCCACATTGCTGTGGTGCATGAGTTGAGGCGTCACTTGCGTCTGAAACACGGAGAAGTTTGTTAAAACGCGCTATTGGGCTAGTTGGTGCGTGGTGTAATAAAAAAAAAAAATGGGATGCACAAAGAAACTAGGACAGGAAATGACAGGGCTGGTGTCATTTTTTTTTTAACAGAGAAATTATTTTCGACCAACTTCTCGTGCGTTTTCAGCATCCTGAATACCAAGGTACAGAAAGAAAGGGCGTCACGGTATATAAAAAAAATTCACACTGTTTAGATATTAGTGAAAGCATTCAGCGTTCTATTTTGAATGTGGAGAGATTCTTACCCGACCGCTTCCGGCCTTTTCGCTTCCTTACGGAAGACGACGAAGGCCTGCTTTCGATCAACCGGAACAGTGCGCTTTTTTCTTTTACCAGAGGCTCTTCTGTAGCGTCTGTTTGGGAGCCACTCCCAATACGGTCAGCGCCCAGCAATGGTGGAGCGTTTCTTCATTGCACGAGACGTGCAACATGATCCTCTCCTGAAACCTCAAGTCCCGTTAACCCTGGCCTCCTTTATTCGTCCTATCCATGTCCTCTCAAGGCGTACAGTCGGCCAGAACTTTAGCCAATGTGCGCGGCGGCCACTTTTTTGTCTGTGAGCACCACATTACGGCACGAAGTTAAAAAAAAAGTTGCTTCGTTGACATGTGTTTCGTGGGCATACACTTGTCCCGCTGAAACTTAATTCGGTTGCATGGTAAAGATTCACCGAAAAAAAAAAACTACCCCTCATGCACAATAAAGATTTCACCGACTGTACGTACTGCTCTTTCTTCTGTACCCTTTCTATCTTACTGTCACCCAGAGCGGTATGCCGACACGGCATTTCTCCTTTTTCACTGCTTACTTATTCACTGTTTATGGCTTCTCGACACGTAAGAATGCTCCCTGCTGTGAAGTTGCCAAATCGTACGTATAATCCCGGGATACTAATAAATTCTACTTGTAGGAGTGGCTGTAGCCTCCGAAACGTTTTAGACCGTTAGACTAGCGTAACAGAAGGCAACATTGGAAATGAATTGATAGATAGATAGATTCATTGATTGATTGATTTGATTTGATTGATATGTGAGGTATGTGAGACGTGAGACGCCGCAGTGAAGGGCTTCGAAAATTTCGACCAGCTGGGGTTCTTTAACGTGTACCTAAATCTGAGCACACGGGCCTACAGCATTTCGACCTCCATCGGAAATACAGCCACCGCAGCTCGGATCCCGCGACCTGCGGATCAGTTAGCCGAGTACCTTAGCCACTAGACCATCGCGGCGGGGCAACAACGGAAATGAAGTCTAGCACACTATTTCAAAACGCCAGACCACGCAATGCACAACACACAGTATCCCGCACTGGCCTGGAGCCTTTGTGTGCTGTTGGTCCTGGATGCATTGCAGCACTGAGCGGCACTTTATAGGTGAGATGCCCGCCAAGCAGGCGCACCAAACTGCGAACTTGGAAAACTTTTTGGGGGGGTGGGAAATGAGGGTACATCTTTCTCTTGGTATTTTATACAGGTGCATATAAAAACATACATTTAATGACACTCATTATAAGTTGCAACACCGTAGCCATGGTTGAAGGGGCACCAAGCCTATACGGCAGCACCTGCAAAGCTGGTCTCGGTGATACCAGAGGTTGAATCGGCGTTTACGTCACTCAATGCTTACTATTTTGGAGCTGCCGTGCAGCCTTGGCTACAGTTTGACCACGCGCAGCATTTTCAACTTATAATAATTGGGCGCGACTGTACACGCATGTAGATATCACGGTCGCTCCATTCACTGGAAATAAAATCACAGCTGCGCCCCCCCCCCCCCCCACCACATGAACATTGCCACGTTCCGCGCACGCTCAGGCCCCTTCAGTAATCTATTCAAAACATGATACTCAACTGTTGGTATATATTCAACGCAGAACCAGAGTTCTGACTCGTTCGTCGCATTGTCCGTGGTGATCCTTACAGATCGTGAAAGCCTCGTACACCCGCGGTGTAGCCACGAA